CCTTATGGCTTTCAGTATTCTTCATAATTTTTGGTTACTCATGCTATCAAACAGTTATAGAAGAGATACCTCTGGTGCTTGAGAGGGGGAAGCAATGATAGCCCCACTTTCTTAGGAATGCTGCTAAATGTTCACAGGCAGTCGTCAGAGACCACCACTAGCAAGGTGGATGGTGGCGTCTTCATCATTACAGAAAATTAAATAGGGTTTTAAAGAAAATAAAATTATTTTTTATGCACATTGTAGATGATTGGAGACATGAGGACACAAACTACAAACCAAATCCCCCAAAATACCAATTCTGGTCATTTTTAATGAGTACCTATTATATATTGAAACAATTAACCTTGTGATCTTTTTTTTTTTTTTAAATAACTGCCATTGGGAGAGAAGCTCTCTCCTACCTCTATCATACGTACCTCAATGCCAACAGAGTAACTCCCCCCCTTTTCAGACTATTTTAAATACATAATTGACAGTGATTCTGTCCTTTCATGGGATAAATTAATTATGACAGTTTTACTGTCATTTTACTACCACAGAATAGCTTTAAGGCACATAATTATTCAAAGAAAAGACTATGAAAGTAAGTTTCTATGCTAGACTTCCATGCAATATGGACATTATTAAAAGTAGCTCTGTTAAATTAAGGTTGCTTCATTAGTAGTAAAATCACAGAATCACAGAATCGTAAGGGTTGGAAGGGACCTCAGGAGATCATCTAGTCCAAGAAGAAGCATAATGAGGAATCGGATGCTGGGAATTTAAAGAGCACACAGTAGTAAAGAAATCCAAATTATGACACAGATTCGGAAAAAAAAAGCTAAAGATTTCAAAGCCTTTTAGGATAGGAACACTATCTCATGAAGGGGAATGGCTGATGCACATCGCAGCAGACTGAGCACAGAGGCATCTGAAGTCCCAGTGTCAGTATCCAGCTGACAGGAGCTTCCTAACACACATTACACAGGGACTCAGAAATTAAAAAGGCAAATCAGGGATCTAGTAAAGTGAAGGACAAGAGGGGTTTATACAAGTGAGCAATTTTATTCAGTATTTCCATTTCTGTGGATCCTAATAATAATGAAGAAAGATGGTAAGAAAGCTCCAAGCTGTAGCTGGCTGCCTCCTCACTTTCAACGCTCACTCCCAAACATCTTCAGGACTAGCATCTACCATGTACTCAGATCTGTGAAGTCATACCAGACCTCCTCAAGTGTAGGACCTAAGCTTTTGCATATCACATAACTTCATGTATAGCATCAAGCCTTACAGAGAGTACTTACAATAACTAGATCTCTCATGGAATTACTAGCCCTAAAGGAAAAAGAGGAAGGAGACAAAGGGAAGGTCTCCACCTTTCACACCAACATGAGAGTGCAGCTTTCCACGGTTAATCTCAGTTCTTTAAAGAAACGGTAGCTATGTGCAGCCCCACAGCAAGGGAAGGATCTGAAAGCCACCCTGACGCCATTAGGTGTGCAGGTTCTCATCTGCTTAGCTCCCACAAACTGCACTGGCTTCTCAGGTCAGTTCCTTTTTAAGAAAATGGGAAAGCATGCCCTGGGCCTAATTTTTCTTTCTTTTTTTTTTCAGTTGTAAAACAAGGATAATAACAAGGCACAACACAGTAATTACTGTGGAGAATTAATTAATTAGGTTTTAACTATTTCCGGTTCCTTTTTAAAATGGGAAGTTCTCTACAGGGGCTGAGTAGTGGTGGTGGTCTTAATTTTTTGACTAGTAACAGCAAGAATACAAAAGACAGCATCAGAATCCCAGGAACGAAAACTAATTTTCTGACACTCTGGCATTTGTAATTTGAAATGCATTTCACTCATAGAAATAAAATGTCAGCGAAAACAATGGTTTAAAATTCTCAGTTCAAGAAGCCTAGTTTCAAATGAAGTGTTGACTAAAAGGTTTTTTGAAGTGGAAAGAAAAAGTAATTCAAGCATATTTGAGGTAGGAATACAAAGCAGATTCTGATTATGTGAAGCCTCTATGAATTCATCTTTTACCTGCAGAATATGCATCTTTATCATCAGAAAGTAGCTGAAAACCACTTAATACGCAAGCCTCTGCTTGGTTTTAGATGCACAAAAGGGTAGCATCTCTTCTATAGCCGCAGGCATACAGACCTAATAGCACTTAATATATTTCTCCTATATGCATTTATAACCTTCAGGGTAAACCCTTGAAATGCTATTGATATTTCATTCCTGTTTTCATGAACCACTCTGCTTCCACTTACCTCAATGGTACCTGCCTGCAAGATGTGCTTATAAATACTTTAAGCTGGAATGTAATAGGCTAGTGTGAACATATGGACATCTGGGATTACTTCTCTGGAAACATAGCTAGTTCTCCTACATAAATATGAGTACCAATTGCTTTTTTCTAACAAAGGAAAAGGTGTTTTTATGACTCATTTGAAAACAAACCTATTTTTTTAACTCAGAACTAACTGTTGTTGAGTTTTACGACTAGGGAGTAAGTTTTATGCTGAGACTCAGCTTGTAGAAAAGGTGTACAGATCCAGCACAGAGGGCAGAACTGGATTCCTTCTTGCTGATTTCCCGTAACATGCTCATCTTGTGCTGAAGGCAGAGGGTCTTATTCATGTCCAAAAATGCATGTAAGGAAGAACTGTGGAGCTCAGGGAAGTGAATTTGACTACTTACTAACTAGAACTCAGCAAAATGGAGAATCTTTGCCTATGGGAACAGCCAGGTTTCTGGTTATTCACAACCTTCTGAATTTTAAATGAGACAAAAAGCGTATGGCATCAGCTCAGAATAAAACTGGTGGGTACATCCTCTCATTTTTTAGAATAGTATTTACTAGTAACTAAATCCTACTCTCTTTGGGTCTGAATCTCCTTCCTAAACTGGAACAAGGAATAAATTGAGAGCAATTCCATGCAAGTCAGTGGTGTTGCTGACGTAAAGCAGTATAAGTGGAAAGATGCTCTCTTCTCTCTGGGGATATTTTCTACATCTCCTCTTGTTAGTGAGAGTAGTGTGGTTGTTTGCTAGAAATTAGATGATTACACTCTCTCTCATTATTCCTCATTAGGCAAAAGACAAAAATGCTCTGTTTCTTAATTCCTGGTATGTTCTCCTAGATACTCCTGAGAAAACTTAACTGATAGCTCATGAACAATTGTCATGAATTTAACAGTGCATTTTTTTCTGATTCGTAAAGGTTACTAACAAGCGAGTTTATGTCCATTGTATGGGCGCTCTTCCTTGTAATTACTGATTTGCTTTTTATAGTTCCATCTCTGCTGGGTTACTAGACTGTTTGCATAGTTTTTTGTTGTTTTAGAAAAGCAAAATCATGAATCATGCTGTCAAAGAATGAATCCTGCTGACAGAATTTTTTCTGATAACTACTTTTGAACCGTATTCACGCTGCCCAAGAAATAAACTTCCAGCAAATTGCACAGACTACATAATTAGACCCCCTAATAATTGATTGAGAGATATTTCCACCTGTGTAGGGCAGCTAGTTGATAGGAATTCCTAGCTGTAAACACTAGTGCTAATGCCACAAAGGAAGGCCTAAGCAGATCACTGGTTCAGAACTGCTCAGCAGGCACATCCACTCTGAATTCAGAACATCAGGTCCTCTCCTGAGGGGTAAGGACCAGCAATGAATGAGCTCTCCTTTGGCTAGTTTGGCTAGCAGAGAAAAGGTCTTGTCCAGAAAAATAGAAAACCTGAGGTCTAGGGTCTCTTACCCGGCAGAAAATTTAACCACTGCTTGCCTTTCCCAGGGGAGTGTTCCAGCTTCCAGGGAAGCAGACAGACAATCAGAAGACCATTCCACAGGTTTCCTGCTCAAGCTTAGCTTTAAGAAAGCAATGTAAAACTCACAGGGCAAAGAGAATGTATGAGAGGAACCACAGCAATGAGGACCGCTGATGTGCTAGCCCTCCCACTCCTCATACAGATGGCTGGGTACATATATCTAGCAGGGGACTGTACCTGAGGCTTATCAGCCTGGAACAATGAAGTGGAGATGTGGGAGAAGGGAGGTAGAAGTTGAGGAGGCAATGAAATGAAGACACACAAGACCATGATACAGAAAAAATACCTTTACCAGCGCAAAAACCTGTTGCAAAGAACAGATCCTTTCCCCTTATGAAGATTGACAGAAAGGTTGCATTCATTTTACTAGTTGTTCTGGAGCCCACACTCTTGGCCAGTGACAGAGCAGGTTTTCTATGAGAAGCTCTTTGCAGAGCATGAGCTG